CTAGTGCGGATGAGGCACTGGGTTCAATCCTCGGCACCACATAAGAATAAATAAATAAAAATAAAGTAATTGTGTCCACCCAGAACTAAATAAAAAATAATAAGAAACTAAGTACTCATCCAAAATTGAAATAAAACTAAGATGTTGAATATTCATATATGGATTTATATACAGCAACAATAGTGTATGATCTGTAACTGTAAAATGATGTAAGAAATTATCATTTCTGGCAGTTAGATATCTATTCTACATCTAGAGCCATGGCTTCCAAGACAGGCAATATTGCCTCACCAGGATCATTTGTCAAGTCATGGAGGTATTTATGAATGTCATAGGTACTGGCACCTGGTATTCAGAAGTCAGGGAATTAATTAGTTTATTTCGCAGTGCACAAGGTTACTCCAGAAAAACACTTTTCTTTCCTGAAAGATAAACAATACTGAGGTTAAGAAACCTTTATCAGGATATAAATGTAAGTAAGACTCTGACAATAGAATTAACAAAACACGTTTTGAGAAAAATACAAAAACTGCTGAAGAAGTGGAGAAGTATAATGTGCTAATAGATTTGGGACTCAGTATTTTAAAATTTCAGTTCTCCTCAAACTGTTCTATAGATCCACTAAAATTCCACATAAAATTCCAGCATTTTATTCTATTGATACAGATGTGTGTATCCTAAAGTATGTGTAGACAAGGTTTGGTCATGATAATCTTGAAGAAACAACACAAAATGGAGTGATTCATAAACTAGATATAAAAACTCACTATGGCTCTATAGTTATTCAGAGACAATTGCATTTTCATGATTCTAGACCAGTAAAAATGTGACAGAAGAGAGAATAAAGATATAGACAGATAAATATTCATATGAGGAAGCTATCTTGTGCACAGTAGAGAAAGGCGGACTTCTTCAATAAGTTATTTTGAGATATTTGGGTTTTGAGATATTATGCAAAGAAAAAATGAATCTTGGCCCAATATTGCATTACAAGTTTTAGAGGATTTTTTGTTTTTGTTGATCACCATATAAAAATTAGTACATACAGAGAAAATATGAAAAAAGAAAACAATTGGGAATATCATTTGAGAATTTAAATTAAATTTCTAAAATCATGACAATAATTAAGCAACTACAGCTATTATCCCAAGTTATATATACAATTAAAATCTTATATCACATCAGAAGTAAAACTAACTCCAAGGGTACTGAAGATTTAAATGAGGGGGGAAATTATCTAAACCATTAAAATATTACATAGCTGAAAATTAATAGACCTTTTATGTAAGAAAATATCTTTTTAAAGTGAAATATCAAGATCAGAAACCATATTAGAAACAATTGAAAAAATTTCCGGCATTAAAAATATATATGCATGTATATAAACAAACAAAAAGTACTTCAGCAAAGAAATATTAAAGCCATATTTTACATTGCAATAAAACATGAATTAATATCCTAAATTTATAAGAGATCAGACAAATAAATAAAACTATTACCTCAAAAGAAAGATAGTAAATAAAATTCCTGAAGTATTAATTCATAAAAGAGGATATAATTTTGTAATATAAGTGTTCATTAATGCTTGTAAAAGCAATGAATGACATCAATAAAATCTATTACCTACACAATTGGAAATCATTCTGTATTTTAGGTATTTCTTTGGGAAAAGGGAGTGTGAGACCCTAAACAACAACAACAACTAAGTTGGGAATTTGCATCTTGTAGCTCTGTATAGAAAGATGGTGGGAAAGAGTAACATCCACCAGGAGAGTGCTAACAAGTAAAGCTCATAGGGACTCTGAACAATTTTAATTGAGAGGAAGCCATTGTGAGTATCTCTTCATCACTGGTGAGGGACAGGTAAGTCTCATTTCCCTACTCTGAGGTATAAAAATAAGTTCCAGGCAGACTTGAACTATCCCAGGAGAGTGCAAATAAGAAACAGGTAGGGAGTTGTGCAGCCTATGAAAAAACTTTCATTGTGCTCTTCCTGTTGTTTTGTGCTCATCAAGGGAACCTGGAAACCCACAAGTAATCCTGTCCCCTGAGACTCCAGGTCAAGTTCATGTTTGCCATTTAGCCTGGTTGGTTTGCATTCTCTGCACTTCAGTGGTTTGGTTTGGTTAAAAATGGACCCATCTTTCTCAACATAGTGCATGTGTTCTTGGAATGACAGTTTGCAAAGTAGAGGCTGTGCATGTGGAGAGGGGAATGTAGAGAGGGGAAAACTGTAGGAGAAACTCAGGCAAGTTTGACAACTGCAATGAGCCATGTCCTATGGGGTGAGTTCTTACAAATGGAGCTTTCACTTACTTCCCCTGATTTCCATCCCTTGTTTACCTTCACATTTCATGCACTGAGATGTTACCTGGACATTGCTAGACTTCACCCTCATTTTAGTGATCTAGTCTTTCTTGATAAAAGATAGAAAGATAGATGAATGGATTGGCACAGCAATTGGGTGGCTCTAAGTAGCTATTGCGTTGTTACAGAAGACAAGAAAGTCAAATTTTGGTCCCTCCTTCCCCACAGCCCAGGCTGAGATTGCTTCCTTGTGTCTTGGCCCTCAGCCTACCTTGGACTTCATCTGATGAACACTTTTATGTTTCATCAAATCTGAAAATGAAGTTATCCTGGCGATTAAGTCATGTTGGTTCAGTAGAAATTTCCTCATTGTTGAGTTTGGTTTTGGTGATTACAATAATTCTGTCTCTGCTACTTATTCTTGTATTTAAAAAAAAAAACAAACAGCTTGCAAGTTATTTAAGCTATATTTCCTGGTGAATGAAAACATTTTTGCTAAGAGCACATTATATATTCTCTCTAATGGTGAACTGGTTTTATGGTACTCTACTACAGAAGAATTAGTAACTATCTTTATTTTAATGATATTAGTATTATACTATTGTAAATACATTTTTTATGAATTAGTAATAAGAAATAATATTGTCATAATTGATAGGAGGCCATAATTTGTATTAAGTGTAAACCACCTCTGCCTAAATTTCAGTTGTACAGAATCCCAACTTTTCTTGACATCAAACTGATGTGTTAGATGTCCTCTGCTTGTATTGATTCTTTTTTTTCCTGTCTCAGGTGGTAAATGTTGAAGAGGAAAGAGACTGGGTAGAATTGTCTTCTCCTATGACAGCCTTGTCTGTTTCCGTGAATATAGGGAATAAAAGAAATGGATATGGAGCAAAATTTTTTCCCTAACAAAATTGATATAAGAAAATATTTAGATATTGAGGATAAAAGGTTACATGACAGAAATTTCTTCTATACCCATTTATTGTGGCTGGGAGGGCACATATGAGGTTTATGTTATTAGATCCTCATAAGGGATGCTTAAGTGGAAGAGAGGCAAGGGGTCGGTCAACTACAGGGCTTCGTATTTTCTGAGTCTATGGAACGTTGTGGCAGATCCCACTACAGTGGTTGACTGACTTTTTTGTTTCCTCTGAGAGACAAAAGAGAAGTCCTGGTATAAGCAGGTAGTATTAAGGCTCTAGTAACAGTACCAAATATAAAAACTTCCTGAAGAGCTATCTTTAAAATTGAGAAGACTCTGGAAACACAGAGATAATTAACTTATTCTAAGCTCAGAAACAATTCTGCAGTATTTTCAGAGGGCCCACGCTCGATGACCCAATTCACTTATTAAGCAATTTTGACATGTCAAGCACTATACTGAGTACTTTTTAATGTATCATATTATTTAATAACTTCTTATTTAATAACTTCATATGTCAGATAACATATGAAGATACTCGATTTAAATTTATTGTAGACATATGAAACATTCAATGTTACCCATAATTAAATTCTTGGTTCTCCAATTTTACTCATGAATTCTGGAGAAAAAAATAGAATGTAGTAGGTAGAATTCCAAATATTCTCCAAGATATATGTCAGTTAGTACATATTGTTTTTTTTTTATAGTAGCCTTTCTTTGAGTGTGTGTGTGACATTTATGAATGTGATGGGAGTATGCTCCATTGATTATATTCTATCACATAACACTTTGTCATATTAAAGCAGAGATAGGGTCTCCTGCTGGCTTTAAAGAAGTCCCTGCCATGCTGGGAGTAGGGCAAGTGGCAGGGCCATCCTAGAACAAAGTGGCCTCTAAATGTCTAACATGATATACTCTGTCAACAACCATCAAGGGAAGTGTGATATCATTCATAAAGTGTAAGGAAGTAAATTCTGCCAACAACCTCAATAGGCTTGTAACAGAATCCCATGCCTCATATAAGATTACATCTCCAGTTCAAACCTTGATTCAAGCTTGATGAGAACTTGAGCCCTAGTTGATGTCACCCACGTAAAGAGTGGGAAATAAATTTGTATGTTTCAACTCACTAAATTTGTGGTAACTTATTACATATTAATTGCTATAGTTGGGATAAGTATCCCACAAAGGAGACTGTATTAAAGGCTTGATCCCATCCTGGGGCACTATTGGGAAATGGTGGGAGCTTAAAGGGGTAGGGCCTAATAGGAGGCCACTGTCCTTTCTATTTTGTGTCCTGGCCATGAGGTGAATGATCTTGTCAAGGGCTGGTTCTATGATGGGCTGTCTTGCCAAAGGGTCAAAAATAATTGGACCAATGAATCATAGACTGAAACTTCCAAATGTGAGAAAAATAACCCTTTTCTCTTTTTAAGATTTAGAGTAATAGAAATTTACAGTAATAGAGCTCAGACTAGCATACCAATACAAAGGTAATATAATGACTTTCTCTTTCTTTTTTCTGCATGTGTGTGTGTGTGCGCGCACACACACACACACACACTTCTGTGTGACAGAGAGATGGTAGACCATCCCAACACATTACCAAAGATTTACAACAAGCAAAATTGAGTACAACTCTGGAATTCCTTATAATGGATGATACAAGTGCCACATGGAGAATGGATTCTCAGTTCTCAATGAAATGCTAAAGGCTGGATTCTCTTCATATGTCCACAGGGAGAGTGACTAAGAGTAAGAAATGTCAAACAGGAGCCTTGTGACAACGTTCTTCCTCACGGGACTTCCCCATGCTCCAGCGCTGGACACCATGCTCTTTGGCCTCTTCCTGGTCATTTACATTCTCACTGTGCTGGGGAACCTCCTCATCCTGCTGGTGATCAGGGTGGATTCCCACCTCCACACCCCCATGTACTACTTCCTCACCAACCTGTCCTTCATTGACATGTGGTTCTCCACTGTCACAGTGCCCAAAATGCTGATGACCCTGGCCACCCCGGGTGGTGGGGCCATCTCCTTCCATAGCTGTGTGGCCCAGCTCTATTCCTTCCACTTCCTGGGGAGCACCGAGTGTTTCCTCTACACTGTCATGTCCTATGATCGCTACCTGGCCATCAGTTACCCGCTCAGGTACTCCAGCATGATGAGGGGGAGAGTGTGTGCCCTCCTGGCCGCGGGCACTTTTGTTTCTTTGTGCCTTGTGTTTTCATCTACCTGAGACCTGGCTCCAGGGACGTCATGGATGGGGTTGTGGCTGTTTTCTACACTGTGCTAACACCTCTTCTTAACCCTGTTGTGTACACCCTGAGGAACAAGGAGGTGAAGAAAGCTCTGTTGAAGCTGAAGGACAAAGTGGCCTATTCTCAGAGCCAGTAAATGCTACAAAATAGACCTTTCATATTTTCAAAATTAGCAATATATAATTTATTTTTCCACAAAACATTTATTGCATGTGTAGGTCTCAGTTTTAAACAATGTTGGAAACCAGCTACTCATGAATATTTTTTTTCACAGATTTTTAAAGGAATTCTAAACATCAGAATAAGATTTTTTTTTTATTATTAATACTGGATATTCTGAAGTCTAGATTCATTTGTTTGCTATTAGTCTTTCAAAAGTAAATTTTCTATTTGCATCTCAGATCCTAACCAGGGAATTATTCATGTATCTTAATTGATAATATGCACTTTTTTGTGGGGTTATTTTTTTGCATACAAACTTTGGATTTTTACAGTTATTGGGGTAATGCTCAAGGACTGAAATAAATAGCAGAGGTCATTTATTTTTGGCTGAAATTATGCAAATGTCTTCTGAACTCTTTTAGCCACTGTATGTTTGTGTAAGTGTGTAAAATATGAGGTCCTAAAGTGGCTAATCTTCTTTACTAGCACTTTTTGGTCAAGTTGATTGTTTTCACATAGGAAAGTATCGATCTTCTTCTTAGCAACCTCTATAACCAGTGCCACCTGGATGAACTGAGAATAAGTTTTCACCTTGAAAGAGACCTGCAGAAATTTTAGGTTGGTGATGGGATCAGGATGAATAAAACAGCAGATCTTCTAGCCTCCCTCACATAATATGACCAGTAAAATCCTATTATACCTTATAAGATGTTCACATTTTACGTAGGTAAGGATCCTTTTGCTTTAGATTGTGGTGACTGATCGTGTAGTTCACATGTTTCCTTCTGTTGCCACTTAAGAGTCTTGGAAATTTGACAAAGTTCTGCCTGCTCTGCAACAGGGATGACCCTCATTACATGGAGCAGTCAAGGGTGATTTTTTAATTTAAAAAGTAGAAAAGAGAAAAATATAATCAGATAATTGTTATTGTATCATTTCAACATATTTCTAGTATGGGAGAAACACATTCATCTGTCCAAATGCAAAGAATGGACTAAGAGACACAAGGTATAGCAAAAAGCAAGGTTTTACTTTAATGATGGTCTTGCAAGATCGGGTGTATAGGGGAAGCAGGCATACCCTGATCAGATCCAATCAGCATTTTATGTCCTAGAGTGCAAGGTCCCTCCTCAAGTTCCTGATTGGCTGAGTACTATGGGTAAACAGTCTTTCCAAATGTGGCCCTGATTTTACTGTCTCCTATTCAGTTAAAGAAATATTCCTCTCGTTGTTCATGCTTCCCTTTGTTCTCCTGTGTCTAGAAAGTCTTGTTGTGGTGAATGCATTCTGACAAGTACACAGCTCTTGCTTCTTTATCAAGTTACTATTTTTTTTAACAGAGAGATTTCTGTCCCTGTTGGTCAGGCTGACCCCTTCCTCCACTTCCTGTTTGTCAAGGAGCTGTTGGGGTGCATAGACTTTGGGCCACATTCATAGGCTATGGTATTATTGTGTGAAGTCACTGCTTGTAACTTTCTCTTCTGTTCTATAGCCTCCTCCAGCTCTGCCTGCTTCAGTTGCCTTTCTTGGTTTTACATGTAAGGCTAAATACTGTATTTCTCACATATCATAGTTAAAAAAATAAGACCTGGAACCAATACATTACCCCCAAAACATAATGCATAGTTACATAGCCAGCATACACAAAGTCCATACTTGTGGACATCTCTATGTTATGGACTAGACTTTAGGCTTTTTATCATAGCCACCATTATAGCTATGAGATGATATTTCAGTATAGTTTTGATTTTCACTTCCCTGATGATCAGTGGTATTGGAACAGTTTTTCATATGCCTGTTGGCAATTTGCATGTCTTCTCTGGAAAAAATATCTGTTTAAAGATTTTGCCCACTTATCCTTTTTATTGCTACTGATTTATATGAGTTCCTTATATATTTTGGATCTTAACCTTTTATAGGGTATATAATTTGTAAAGATTTTTCTCCCATTTCGTAGATTGCTTTTTCATTTTTGGTGTTTCCTTTGCTGTGGAGAAATTTGTTTAACATACATAATTTATTTATTTTTACTTTGGTTGCCAGTGTTATATAGTATTTTTGAGGATGATAAAATGTATTTTTTTAAATTACTAATTATACATTACTTTAGCAATTATCACCGTCGTTGACAAGGTAGTCTTTCCTCTAGCCAATAAGTTACTTTGGTAAATTTGATATTCTCATGTTTATTATTTTTTTCAAGAATTTATCTATAATAAAATACATGAAGCAATAAAATCACACTAAGTTAAATTATTCAGAAACAAAACAATAAACATTATTGAGTTTGCAATTGGTCACACACTTTACAAATATTATCTTAATCTACTCTTATGAAGTAGAAATGCTATGAAACTGGTGTTGTTATATAAATTCATGCAACTCTTGAGAAATATAGTCAAGTTCTAATCCCAGACTATCTGGCAACAAAGCACATAATGTTAAACTTCAAGTTATTTTCATATAATTGTGGGAACTTTCTGTGTTTGCGGGTCAGGCTTATATTAATGGATCTGAATAACCACTAAATTAACAAAGCACATATTTTTGTTCAGTCACCTGCATTTTACATATCAATGTGGATTCTTAAAAAACTATTTTTTATTTTCTTGGTTTGAGCCCATAATTTTACATTTTTTAGAGACTTGCCTTTGGATATAAGGCTATTTCATCAAACTCTGTCTGATCTTACAGATTAACAGTAGTTTTCCTCTTCTTCAGCTCTGCTACTTCCCATAAGCACCATGACTATATGACTAGCCTAATGAAAGAAAGTCTAAGGCTCTGCCTGTGTTCCTTCCTCAGCCATGTCTTCTTCATGCAGTTGGCTCCCTCAAGCTGTGATTAATGAGTGGTTGAGAAGAGAAGAGATAAGCAGAAAAAGACGGGGCAGGTAGGATGACACAAAACATTAACAACAGCTCTGGAGAATAAAGAAAATAAGCTACGATTTTCTTGGTTCAGCAAGGAATCCTTTCATTATCAAATAATAATTAGGACAACCTCATCGTAAATACTTCATTATGTCATTATTATGCTCTCAGAACTACCTGTACTATTTTCAAAAGGGAAAAATTTTTAAAAAAGGTATTTAAATTATAAGGAATGAAGAATCTGGCTCAAATCCTGAAGGAACAGGGTGATGTTTATAGTGATGTTTATAGGATGATACTTTGTCAGATCAGTCCTATTGTCAATAATTAATCAATGCAATAACTCTACCATTTTAATAAATTGATTACCAAACTTCATGCATGGAAGACATAGAACTTTAAGACAATATTTATGTTTCATAGGTGTAGAGAAATAAATAGATGGATTTTAAAGTGTTATAAAGTATATGTGAGGTACCATACTAAACCCTACAATATCCAATACAGACTAGGTGAAGTGAATCAACAATTGAAAGTGAATAGAATTACACATAAAAAAACAAAGGCAAGCTCCAATGATATAATTTACAATATTTCACATGTAGAATACGAATACTATATAGTTCATGTGTTTTAGGATATGTTGGAAATTTATAGAGCTCGTTTCCCAGGGCAATAGCACTATATTTTGAATTTTTTAACTCTTATGAGAAAATTCAGGCATAAGAAAACAAAAACCAAGCATTTTACTTTTGTTTTTATTTCTTAATAATCTCAGGGTTCAGACTATGCATACATATTGGTCAGGATCTTCACCCAACCAGCTACAAAAGAAGGTGACTTTCTACTTTGCCCCTGTTGCTGGGGGAAGAGAGCATTAAGTGAACTGCTTAAAACAACATTAAAATGTTGATTCAAACATTTACAGTGGGACTCAGCTTTCCTTACAATGGGCAAAATTGTTGAAACAAAGTATATCTTGTCCTTATCCTTTTTAGAATAGAACCTTTCAAAATGAGTGTTACTATTCCCCTTTTTAAAGTTATCTTTGGAAAAACATTTTTATATTATGGTACTTATTTTCTGATTTTCGATAACCATACTACCAAAAGCAACCTGGTTGCATGACTATTAGACCAAAAAGAACATCTGTGAGGCCCTAATGGTTCACTGTCATATTATGTGTCCAATTCATTCACAATTGTCAGAAGCAGTGCAAAGCCCAATGAAATTTTGAAAATATTATTGAGATTTGGACAATTACCATCTGGTGTGGTCAGACATCCTGATGATAGCATCTAAAGAGAAGACAGAGAGTCTTCTGAAATGAAATATTAATGAGCAAAACTTGAGGCTTTGTTATTCCTCTAACAGGTCTAGAGTATTCCAAAGTATTAGTGAAGTGTGCGCGAACATTCACAGCGGGCAAAACTTCAAGAGTCAACACAGAAGGAAACCACCATAACAGGAAGGCTGATGCATTGTCATCAGACTTTACTGACAGAGCCCATACAGAGTTCACTCAGCATTAAGAGTGCAATGCAGGCTTATTTAGCTTAGCATAATTGTGTCCAGATCCATCCATTTTTCTGGCAATCATTATTTTTATGGCTGAGTAATATTCCATTGTATATATGTACCACATTTCTTTACCTGTTCATCTGTTGAAGGGTACCTAGGTTAGTTCCACAGCTTAGCTATTGTGAATTGAGTTGCTATAAATATTGATGTGGCTGAGTCACTGTATCATGCTGTTTCAAATATGCTCTACTGTCATAGAGCATAAAGAATAAAAAATAAATAAAAACTTCTAAAGAACATTTTTTTTTCAAGGAAGATAATAAAGTTCTGAATATTTGTTCATTTGTTGGCCATGAAGTGTGTTATGAATTATTTGGTTTTCATTCTGCATTTGTATATATATTTTTTAAGAAATACAAAAAAATTGTTATGGGTAAATGTTTAAATGTTTTGGTAATTTTGTGTTCTTATACATTTTATGTAACTAAAATTCCATTTATGTTTTAAGAACAAAGGAGTTCTATTTGTGTTGAAAAAATAAAGTTTGTGATGCTGGGATGGCTGGTGTGCCATCTCTTGTGTTCAAAAATGTTCCTGGTAGACCATAAGGATTCTTTACTATTATAGGTCTACTCCTACCCAGCTGCCATGACTTTAAACTTATCTGAGAGTTAATTGTTGATGAATTGGATAGATTTCAAGTCTACGAGGCCGCTCTTCTTTTTCATTATAGTGAGTTATTTGTTTTGCTTTGTTTTCAGTACTAGGGACTGAAAACAGTGCACTCTATGACTAAGCCACATCCTCAGCATTTTTTATTTTTGAGAAAAGGTCTTGCTAAGTTACCAAGGTTCATCTTGAACTTGTGATCCTCCTGCTTCTGTCTCCTGAGAAGCTGGAATTACAGGTGTATGACACTACACTGGTTTTGTATGGTTTTTGATTGTAGCATCTCCTTTTGATTATAATATCAAGTTTCCATATATGTTAATACTCATCTGTTCTTTCATGTTGCCTTATTTTTTTCTATTAGAGTTCTTAACGTTAATCATAGTTATTTTAAATTTCCTCTCTGAATGAGATCTGTGGATTATGTTAATATCAATCAATAAATAAAGTTGTGATTTTACAATTTTTTACCATTGGAGGAAACTGGGTAAAGTAGGCAAGAACTCTATAGTAATTTTTGTAAATTTATGTATTCCTACCATTGTCTTCGTAAGCTTTTCAATGAAAAAATAACATGGATATTTATATTAGATTATTATCATTAAAAATTTAAATTAACTTCAACATGGCATTGTGAAATACATGTTATTATAACATGTGAAACTGCCAGCATAATTTCAATGTACAAAATATAATGAATCTCTTTGGGCACTTACTACAATGTACCCTGCACTGGCCTTGGTGAATACAGATTTTGCTGCTCTTTTGTGTATCTAATGTTTATCATGTGCCTTACTACCCAATAAATGTCCCAGAATACTTTGTTAATTATAAATTACATAAAATAGTGTGATTTACCAGTGATTAGAGGAAAAACAACGTGAGTCCAATGCCTAAGTGATTTTGACTTAGCTGCCTATCAGTTTTCTCCTTTGCAAAACAAATTGGATTATATAGTAGGTTCTTGCCAATCTGTTTTACTGGAATAAAAACCATTTATTAGCCTTGTATATATATAACTGTTTCATAATATGTAGGTCAAGCTACTACAGTCAGTATTATTTTTTTCATCACAACTTCACAACTTATGTAGATGCAGTTATGGAAAGCTGGCACAGTGGGTGTGTTCTTGCTCAAACATCTCTGAGATGCACCTGGTATAAATCCAAGGAATGTGAGAGATGCTCTTCAGTACTAGCTTACCAACTTTCTCTTCTTGGTCTGCTAGGGAAAGTTGGAGTGTATTGCATTAATAGGGTACATGTGACATTTAAATAAAGCATTTATTTATAGACAAATTGATTTACATTTTCAATATATGCATATATTTGAAGGACTGTGAGGTTCATTACACAAATGTCATCTCCCCAAATATTATCTAAAGTCTATTTTATACTTAAAGTCAAGCAAACGTGATTTATAGACATAGTATAATTACATGGGGAGTATTGCCTTGTAATTTCATATAAATTGAGGTATGCTGTCAATATTTTTGATTGTATAGTTTTTAGTATTTATTTACTCACTTTTAGTATGTTTGATATTTGTTCCTTTTTTTTCAAAAATAATTTTAAGATTATTGAAATAGACACATTTCATTTAAGATAAAATATCAGGAGTTATATAAATATTAAAGAAAAATCTCAATAGTTGTTGTCTATGACTAGTACAATATATGCAATGCATATGGTGCATAAATGGATGAATGTTCACTCTCAAAAATCTTGGAAGCCAAAGTAAAACATTAAACAGTTTTTCATTAGCTTAAAAAAGTGAATAAAGACATTCTTTGTGGGAATCAAACATTGTTTGTTCAGTATTTTTTTTCTTTTAGTACCAGGAATTGAACCCAGGGACACTCAACCACTGACCTACATCCTCAGCTTTTTTTTTTTTAAACGTATATTTTATTTAGAGACAGGGTTCTGCTGAGTTGCTTAGTGTCTCACTAAGTTGCTGAGGCTGGCTTTAAACTTGCAATTCTCCTGCCCCACCATGCCGAGCTGCAAGGATTACACGTATGTGCCTCTATGCTCCACTTGCCTGGTATTTTCTTTTTTGGGAAGTACCAGGGATTGAACTCAGGGGCACTCAACTACTGAACAAAATCCCCAATCCTATTTTGTATTTTATTTAGACACAGGGTCTCACTGAGTTGCTTAGTGCCTTGCTGTTGCTGAGTCTGGCTTTGAACTCCTGATCCTCCAGACTCAGCCTCCTGAGAGCTGCTGGGATTACAGGTGTGTGCCACTGCACCTCTTGTCTAGTATTTTCTAAAGCAAAAATTACATCATATATACACTATTGTATATGGTCAATTATAAATATTAAGAATGATTTTTTTCAATATAGGAAGTTTAAAATATGAATAGAAAGACTTTAAAGCATTTACTTAAATGAGATAAAATGAAATATAATAATATTATACTACATAGCAATTCTGCAAAATAATTACATGGTAAAAATAAACTCCCTTTCTAATGATTTACTTTATGGAAAATTAAGCAATGATTTAATGATTTACTTCATGGAAAATTTATCCTTCTTAGATTGTCATCATTTGATGGGTGTTTTAACTGGGACTCACATACATTACACAAGAAAAAATAGAAAATTTATTAGTATTCCTTAAAAATTAAGATTAGATATCAGAAATTCTTCTTCCAAGTGTTATGTTCATGCATTTGGGCCTTACTTGATTATTTATTATGAATAAACACTGATCCATTTTTCAGCTTTGACAGAGCTTTCTTCACCTCCTTGTTCCTCAGGGTGTACACAACAGGGTTGAGAAGAGGTGTCAGCACAGTGTAGAAGACAGCCACAATTCCGTCCAAAGCATCTTTGGAGCCAGGTCTCAGGTAGATGAAAAGACCAGGGCCGAAAAAACAAAGGACCACGATGCAGTGGGAGGCGCAGGTCTGAAAGGCTCTGTGTCTGCCCTCTGAGGTGCGGATCCTCAGGATGGAGCAGACAATGGACACATAGGACAGCACTATCAGCAGAAAGCAGCCCGAGGCCACCACCCCAATGTTCACAAAGATGACCATCTCATTGGCTGAGGTGTCCGCACAGGCCAGCTTGAGGATGGGTGGAGCATCACAGAAGTAATGCTGGACCTGGTTGGACCCACAGTAGGGCAAGCGGAACGTCAGGGTGGTCTGGACCGCAGAGTGCAAGGAGCCACTGAGCCAGGTGCCCGCGGCCAGGAGGGCACACACTCTCCCCCTCATCATGCTGGAGTACCTGAGCGGGTAACTGATGGCCAGGTAGCGATCATAGGACATGACAGTGTAGAGGAAACACTCGGTGCTCCCCAGGAAGTGGAAGGAATAGAGCTGGGCCACACAGCTATGGAAGGAGATGGCCCCACCGCCTGGGGTGGCCAGGGTCATCAGCATTTTGGGCACTGTGACAGTGGAGAACCATATGTCAATGAAGGACAGGTTGGTGAGGAAGTAGTACATGGGGGTGTGGAGGTGGGAATCCACCCTGATCACCAGCAGGATGAGGAGGTTCCCCAGCACAGTGAGAATGTAAATGACCAGGAAGATGCCAAAGAGCATGGTGTCCAGCGCTGGAGCATGGGGAAGTCCCGTGAGGAAGAACGTTGTCACAAGGCTCACATTTAACATTTCTTCTCATATGTAGGACTGTGACCTTGTACATCGGAAGGCAAACCTAGTATTCATGGAGAGCATATTTTGTGTGAAATATGGGAGCTCCTTTCTCTGTGGTTCAATTGTCATCTATATTTTATGCAGCCCCTTCACTTTGAAGGCAGGTTCTCAGGAGAAATGGATTCATCCATATTTCAATACCAAACTCAGCCATATATGGAAAAAAAGTGTGAATTCATATGAAATCAATTAAATTTCAAAAGTTGAGCAAATATTTTTATTTTCTATAGAATTTGAAAAGATATATTCAGTGTAATTTCTATCTGATATATTCAAATATTTCTGTCTCCCTTTTTCTAACACATAGGGAGACACACACACAATTGCATATGCATATACACACACTCATATGCACATACACACCTTCAAACATTCAGTTCTCTGATCATCAGAGAATTTCTATTTTAGTACAATCTATAAAGTAATGTACATCCTAGATAGCGAGGGAAAACCGTTTTTCTACATCTGCTCAGCAGCAGTTGGAATGAGGAGGCAGGGTAACAGCAGTGGCCCAGCATTTCTGGTAAGCTCCTTCCATTCCTTTGTCCCATCTAGACCATGTCACCCTGGTCATATGAAAAATGTGAAACTAAACTAATGCAATGATTGATAGAGTATCATTTCTTTTCTCAACTCCTCTTACCTTTTAACCATTCCTATTTTTATTTTTTTCCATTTGTATTTTTTATTACTTCTCCCTTTAGGATATGAAATAATTGCCCACACTTCTGCTAATGCATGATCAAATCATCATATAAGTTATTTTGACATATGCAAGAAAAATTAGATCTAATTAAGTAGTAAAGTGATACTAAACTGTGTCTCTGGTGTTGGAGTTTTCAGGACTGAATTAAATAATATACTTTTTTTTGAAACAAAAATTGTGCCTCTAAAGTAGAGATTAAGTATACAGTCTGAAATTACTCTTACTGTTTCTAAGATTTCTATTACTCCAGATCTCAGACTCAATATTTTTTCCTTAAGTGAGAAGACTGGAAGTCCTTGGAATTATTTTTTAAGGAGAAAAGTAAGAAAAAACTGTGAAGAAATATAAGAAAATCTGGTTGAAGGAACACTGCTTCACTAAATTCCAAGATGCTTCTGTCATATAGATTCATATCTGTAACAATTTTCATTTTGGGGTCTCTGAAAGAAACTCACTTTTCTATTGCAAAACTCGCTGGAATTGAGTTGGATGCTTCGTCATAATATCAAGGTTTATGGAGAAAGCATTTCATTCATTTATGGTTTTAAAGCATTTTGAGTCCTTTATAAGACCATGCAAATGTTAACTAGCTCATGACTAAGGGAATCTAACCCAAAGCTACAGAAGAATGAAGCAAATCAAAACTGTGAGCACAAATACATTGTAATCACCCCTAAAATGCTCAGCAATGAAAAATACTGAGATTTTGCATTTTTTGTTACTTACCAATTTTATGACTAAGCTTTGTATCAAAAGGCAGAATCCAAAGCTTAAAGAATTCTTAGTCTTTGATGAGCAGTATTATTTTTTTCCTTGAATAGTTGAAAACAGAAGAAAACATTACAGAAACAAACTCTTTTTTAGAGTTAATAGAGCTTAAAATATGTTTGATATCTCAGGAGGTACTGCCTTGGCCCTAGATTCCTCACTGATGGAGATAGTGTTTCTACATTGTGGGGCATTGTAACTTAAGTCATTCTATGTAGCCAAAAATTAATTTCCAAAATAAATAAGCATGACACTCTAGGTTGAAGACTTCTTCTGCAGGGAATGATTAACTTTTTTTCCTGATGTCTCCTTTGATTTCAAGAGTAGAAAATACCACTGTGTTTCCCAAAGGGACAATTCTCTGGTGAGGTTCATAGTCTCTCTGATGCATCTTTATCTTTCTGGGGATTATAGGCCATCACAAAAAGATCTGCTGTGGATCTGCTGTGCTCCAGGGATAATCAGAGCACTATTCCCTCTGAGATAAACATCTTACTAATTAAACTTCCTCCCTGTGGAGCTTGGCAGGCTTGCACTCTGCAAGTTCCAGGCTAAGAAGTGATGTTGTCATCTTGTCTGGTCAGAGCTTTCCTTTTCTCTGACTCCAGCCTTTTTTTTTTATTGGTTGTTCAAAACATTACAAAGCTCTTGACATATCATATTTCATACATTTGATTCAAGTGGGTTTTGAACTCCCAATTTTACCCCAAATACAGATTGCAGAATCACGTCGGTTACACATCTACATTTTTACATAATGCCCTATTAGTAACTGTTGTATTCTGCTACCTTTCCTATCCTCTACTATCTCCCCTCCCCTCCCCTCCCATCTTCTCTCTCTACCCCATCTACTGTAATTCATTTCTCTCCTTGTTTATTTTCCCATTCCCTTCACAACCTCTTATACGTAATTTTGTATAACAATGAGGATCTCCCTCCATTACCATGCAATTTCCCTTTTCTCTCCCTTTCCCTCCCACCTCATGTATCTGTTTAATGTTAATCTTTTCCTCCTGCTCTTCCTCCCTGCTTTGTTCTTAGTTGCTCTCATTATATCAAAGAAGACATTTGGTATTTGTTTTTTAGGGATTGGCTAGCTTCACTAAGCATAATCTGCTCTAGTGCCATCCATTTCCCTGCAAATTCCATGATTTTGTCATTTTTTTAGTGCTGTATAATATTCCATTGTGTATAAATGCCACATTTTTTTTATCCATTCATCTATTGAAGGGCTTCTGGGTTGGTTCCACAGTCTAGCGATTGTGAATTGTGCTGCTATGAACATCGATGTAGCAGTATCCCTGTAGTACGCTCTTTTAAGGTCTTCAGGGAATAGTCCGAGAAGGGCAATAGCTGGGTCAAATGGTGGTTCCATTCCCAGCTTTCCCAGGAGTCTCCATACTGCTTTCCAAATTGGCCGCACCAGTTTGCAGTCCCACCAGCAATGTACAAGAGTACCCTTTTCCCCACATCCTCTCCAGCACTTGTTGTTGTTTGACTCCAGTCTTAATACATTCAATCCACTCACCTTAGAGCATGCTTACATTTTCTTTGTAAGTTTTTTTTTTTAAATCTTGCCTTATACTGACTAATTATTCTGACTAAAAAGAGAGAAGGAATATATCTCTTCATATATCTCTTCATATCTTCTTCTGAAGTAATGTGTGTTTTTGCTATTGTAAAAGGGTTTGTGAAAACAAGAAAAACTGATCTGATGTGTCAGAAGCACAAAGAACTGTCAATTTTAGAAAAGGAAAATTGCAGTTTTGTGTGCCTTTTATACTAACATATATGCTTTCATATGTATATGGAGAATAAAGCTCATTACAGAATGGATTTTGAATAAATGAGGTCCTCTGAATTAATATTTCTGCCAGTTTCAAATTAACGTATCACAGCATCCTATTTTCTGACATTGAGTGTTCATTTAAATTAAAACATATTTAATCCATGTAATATCATCATACTTCCTTTAAATGCTATTTTAATAATTATTTGAGATTTAGCTCTGGTTAATGTTTTAAAATCTCTTTATGAATACATGTTATTAATTTTGGTTAATTTAAATATCTATCTTCTATTAAATACATTTATGAATGCTATTAACTTCCATTTTACTGTCTTGGATTATAAGGTATGAAATTATGTGTTACCTTTATGAAATGTTAATTTTGTATTTTCCAAATTAAATACCCATTAATTTCTTCTCTTATTGCTGTGGAAGAAAATACTATTGCTGCCCAAATATTTGTTGTTAAAATATTAACTGGATCTCTTATGAGTATTGAATAACTTGTGGCTTTTTCTATCAAGAAGTCAGTAGTGACTATTAAGTTTTACCTTCTTCAAGAATAAGAAAGAAATGATAAGAAAGAAAAGATAAGGAAGGGAATTAGGAGGGAGGGAGGAGGAGAGGGCTTGGGAAAGTACTGAAGAATAAAATCTACCAAACTATGTTGTGTCCATGTATGAATACACCACAATGAATCCCTCTTGTGTATAATTATAATGCACTAATAAAATAATAATAATGATAAAATCATAATCATAATAATAGAAAGGAGTAGAGTTCTACTGGATCTTTACAGAAGAACTAACAGCAGTCTTTCTCAAATCATTCCATGAAATTGGAAGGAAGACTTTCAAATGCATTCTATGAAGTCAGTGTAACCCAGATACTAAAACTAGACAAAGCTCCATATAAGAAGGAAAACTATAGACTAATATCCTTGAGGAACGTAGGGGCAAAAATTCTTAATAAAATATTGTCAGACCACATTCAAAAGCACATCAAGAAGATAATACACAATGATTCATTGGGTTTCATTCAAGGGAAGCAAGGTTGATTCAACATGTGCAAATCAATAAATATAATTCAACATTTAAATGGAATTAAGGACAAGAATCACATGATTATCTCAACAGATACAGAAAAGGCCTTTGATGAAATCCAACACATATTCATGTTAAAAATACTGGAGAAGCTAGGGATGGAAGACATTTACCTCAACATCATAAATGTTATTTATGACAAAGCAAAAGCCAAAATCATACTGAAAAGAGAAAAAGCATTTCCTTTGCAGTCAAGAATAAGACAAGGCAGTTCATTGTACCATATTACATATAGTCCTGAAAACATTAACCAGAATGATTAGGTGGGAGAAAAGAATCAAGGGAATACAAATAGGAAAAGAAGTCATCAAACGATCTCTGTTTGCAGATGACATGAATCTATATGTAGAAGATCCCCAAAACTCTAATAACCCCATCAAAAGACTTCTAGAGCTTAAAATAAGTTCAGCAAAGTAACATATAACAAGATCAACATCCATAAATTAATGGCTTTCCTATACTCCCACAGTGGTTCAGTTGAGGAAGAAATCAGGAAAACTATCTCATTCACAATAACCTAATAAAACAAACAAACAAAAACCACCACCACTACCACCACCAACAAAACCATTTGGGAGTTAATATGACC